ASTAGGAGAMTAAAGGATGCCGGGATAGTCATAAGTTAAAGACCGAAAATTAGAAATTACAGTTGATTTTTGAACACTTAATGAATATGGTTATGTTTTTAAACACAAGAGAAGTTATTTTGTAGTGTAGTCAATATTTTAAAGAAAGCAGATGTTTTGAATGTAGGTTTGCCGAAAGAAATGMCCTAAAACGCATGTTTTTGCGGTATTTTAATTCATCAAACCGATTCCCAAATTAAATGTACATGTTTTAGTCGTACATTTTATACTCAATTACTGAAATTCTCCTGCCCATGTTTGATCAAAGAAAAGAATGCATTTTTGTTTGATGACTGAGGATCRGTTCTGTTGCGTTATTCGGTAAAACGGAAGACGCTAAGTCTCCTTTTTCTGACTTTGATGGATGAGGTTCAAAGAGCCAAAGACTCTACTGAGTTTTGAAGTGAACTTAGCCCCATTTGACTACACTATACATCTTTCCTGACCTTATTTTCAAAGTTTGAATTAACTTTTCGATACTTYAATAAAAAGGGTTCAACGACGAGGGGTTTGGTGGGTGAACCGTCGCTTTTTGTACGTGAAAATGGCGATTCCGTGGTGCCGTTTTGCYGCGGGATGTCCCGTGTTCTTGTTTGAGTTGTGAAATTCTCGCCTTATTTCCTCGGATTTAGAGATTTGCGGATTTGTTTTCASACTAAAAGTGTTTATAAGTTGAATATACGTTGAATATGTTAGGGAAAATTGGTTATTTCAAGTTCTTAGGGGTAGGTAAAAGACGTTCTTTTCAGGTCAGTTTATGTGAATCAAGACGGCTCGCTCTCTAATGATGACCTTCTTGTACTCACTTGAAAAAGTTCCTCATACTAGTCTCTTATGACAGTAACACCAAACACAGTCCACTTATCATAATACGGAGACTTTCTAGTGACAATTTACCAGAAAATAAACCTAAAATACCTTTCAAAAATGTGGAATAATCCTAAGTAAACATAAGTCACACTCGTCACATTAGAGTCACCTACATTCATTGAATACTAACCGGCGTTGGACTTGACGATGAACACAGAAACYAWCATCCAGTACCACCACATTTTGTAGCTTTCTGAAACCGTAWGGAAAAGTTTGAAAAACCAAACAGCCCGCGAGAGATTTAKGGAATAAAATCAAGAGATCAAATCTATAAACTTGTACCGGAAAGCGCGACCTTTAGGCCGACATGTAAGCGAGTCTAGCTATTGTCATAACKGAGGGAGTAGTCGAATCATTAATCATAATTAATCATTCTGACAAGTCMGTGGGTCACAAAACGAGTTGAACTTGCTCGCCGCACAAGAACCAATTAATCAAACTTAGAAATCATTGAAAGGAATTCCATTCAAGAATTTAACCTCAGAACTTTGTCTATTTTGCTCTYGTTCACAAGAAATGATATCTTTTTAATGTGGGGAACATTAGGGACTCCGGTACTTGTTGTCTGTCAAASAAGGACAAATTGCCAGTCGGCGCGTTTGTTGTCGATCGCTTTACGATTGGTTTCGTCAACAGCCATCTTGTTAGGCAAGCTTAGAGTTCCGACATCCGATGAAATATCGATTACATTAATTTGTTTATCATATTTGTCCGTTGTTCAAGTACCTTTACAAGAATTTAATCCCCATGYTATCAGCACCGATAAACTGGAAATTTGTGGATGTATTCGAGTCCTTTTTTAGACAGAACCACATGTTCCAGTCCTCTCTCATTCCTGATTATTGCTCCCGGGTTATTGCTTCTGTAGGTCAAATTGAACGCCAGTATTGTTACTATATTTTTGATGGTTTGATCGCCTGACTCATTTGATGGAACTATAGATATTGAGATCAGCCATTTAGTTTGATACTAACAGATYGACTAGCAAATCATACTATCAAACTCTTGAAACTTCGGGGCCTCTTCTTTTTTGTGTGTTCAACTATAAAAATTATTTAGACAAACTTGAAACTTCGTGGCTAGGCAAGGGTATGCATGTCTCCTAAAAGTAAAGCCGTCTGTCTACATAGGCGCGTTCAAAAGAGGGCGGATACATCACCAATCAGAAGATGCCTTTGCTMTTCAACCCAGATCAACACAATAGAATTGGGGGAAGTGGACAATATAAAACTATTAAGTTCTTTAGGCAGTTATATCAACTCATCAAAAACGTGAAGCACTCGCCACTCGGTGTGATGTTGCTTGTTGTAGACACACTTCACAACTTAGAGCCTAAAAATAAAGTCGTGCACTCCGGTGCAGCCTCACCCCTCCTCCCTTCCCCGAAACGGCCAAAGGGCGTCACCCAGCACTTGTTTATAACCTGAGCGATGTCCTGTTAAGTAATTGGATTAACCTCATCTATATTAGAATGATCCTGGACATGACCGTTTTAGGCCTTTATGATGAGTTTATGAAAGACAAGTGTGGGGTCATCTTTTGAGTTTGGTCTGTGAATGTTTAAAGAATTGCATGAATGTAATAGCTTGTTTAACGCTCGCTCATGATCACCCTCTGGCTACTATACACGTGTAATACTAGATTACGTAACGTACAGCAAACGATTCTTTRCTAACAAAAAAGGACACTGATGATATCATAGACAACTGCAGTGTCAGTTTTGAGAACTCCTTTGCAGTAATCGTACGCACTTAATACGGCACATTCAAGAGACTGAACGCGAAAGTTACGACGAGCGAACAGCAGTATTTTGAAAACATACCAACTACTCTGAAGATTGTAGGTTGGTAATAGTAAAAGTCTCAAAGGAAGAATTCGAAAAAGACCCATCCGCGCGTTTTCCTGGAACTTTGATAGTAGTCTCGTGCTGCTCCTACTTTATTCTTTTTATTATCATTATTTTATATGTAATAATAAGGTACATGCGACCATGTATTTGTTCCAAGCTATTTGGACGACAGTATTGTTTTTCACGGATTAAATATATAACACTCTACGAAAAGCAAACAAAAAATATAATTTATAAAATTTTGCTTTCACGTATAAGACGGGCTTCCTGTTTCGAGTCGTTTTCAGTCTCTTCGGTGGTGGCTCGGAAATGTTAATAWGAGGGATCCCAAAACATAATGATTCAAATTTGCCGTCTATTGATAATGCTTTTTCAGTACAGACACATTCGTTTTAAAGCTCTATATTGCAGCAAATGTATTTTACAGATAACTCTGTGTGAGATATGATTAGATTCCACAGTCACAGGAAACTGTACATGTTTTCACTTATTTCCACATCATAGTATTTTAGTGATTTTTTTTTCAATTCCATGCTTTTTTTTTACTTTCCTGTCGTGACTGGAAATAATTCAGTCAGTATAAATAAATTGCGACTGAGTATAAAGATAAAAAKTAAAGCAAATGAATTAAATGAGGGGCCGTGATAACATCGCTGGGAGTCGAACCCATGACAAAAAGATTGGGATGACTGGCCCCAAGACATTCTGTGAATATGAGGGTTCAAATCGATTTGTACATTTCGGTTAGAGACTTCGGCTCTTCCATGCTATCCCGATGATCGTTCCTAAACTTCGCGCTGACTGAAAAGGCAGTGAGGGAGAAGCTTACCGACCCCTAGACCATAAATCATTGATTCCTTTACTAACGTACACGCGACCGTTAATTTTCCACATTTATCTCCTAAATCCGTCCTGTGAATGCTACAAGCATACTTGTCCGTCATCACACGAATCGATGGGATTACTGTCCAGGCAAAAATGTCACGAAATGTCTGGACGATAAAGTAATCGTAAATCACAAATTTTGACAGAACGAAAACGTGGAAGTAGTTGAAATAGATAAGAATAGATTTGTTGTGTTAAAAGTTGAGTGTGTGGGCTTTGAAAACRATATGTTTTTACTTGAACATGATAAGGATTTTGACCGCCCCGTCTTCGATAGGGCCTACAGCTTTTGCAGCTTGCATGTTTGCATGGGTAGGAGATTTTGGTGTTGTACTGCAAAAGAAAACCCCTGACTGCGCAACTGACTGCGCATCGCAAAAGTTTGAAAGAAGACGGACTGCGCAAAAAAATACATCCTAGTAATTATACTAGATTGACTGTTTAAATGTTTGACGGCTTATAAAAATAAAGTAAAATACATGGACAAGCAAGCTTAAATTAAAAGGAAATCAAATTTTTCATCGGTATAAAAACAAGACCATGTTTAATTTCAATTGTGTAGACTATTTTGGACTTTGTAAGGGCTTCACATCAAAGGTTAAGTTTGCTCTACTGGTAAAAGCTGATAGCTAGTGAGAAAGAGGCTCACAAGCATATGATATTCAAGGTATTATAAGGTCAAAACTAACAGAGATTGCTATGTAGATATATGGATTTTTTTTAGTGAAATCGTAGTTTTGAGTTTACAGGTCAGTACTTGTTGACACTTATTGATATGGGCAAGCCCAATGAATCCACTCATTATGAATCTATCTGCCATTTAGAACGATGAGATAAGACAACATTTAGATCGATATTGTAAAGAAACTTCATGATTACAGTGCTATTGGACTGATATGAAAAGTATGTTATGACTGAGAGAGTTATTCAGGTAGCGAGTACATGTAAACGATGAATATTTGGGTGATGATCTGGAAATCGAGTTCAGTCTGTTTTACGCAATCTTTTCTGATTTATGAGATAATTCTTTGCATGTTTTGCTCTTTTTGTTCTTGTTCTTTCTTCTCTTCAGTCTCTTTGTTCTTTTTTTATTTCCTCTATGGTTCCTCTTAGTGCTGGTGTTTCTTCACCTCTTTATCTTATATCTCACTTCTTTTACAAACTTTCATTCAAACAAACTTTCATCATTTCCATCTTGTCTTTGATTCTCCATCTTCCTTTCCTTCTTGTTCTTCTTCTTGTCCTGGTTCTTCTTCTTGTTCATCTTGTTCTTCTGTTCTTGTTGTTCTGTTTCTTCTTGTTTCATTTTAGTTCCTCTTGTTCTCAGTCTTGTTCTCAGTCTAGTTCTTCTTGTTCTTCTTGTTCTTCATGTTCTTTCTCTTTCTTGTGTTGCCAGAGCCTTCTTTCATGTTCTTTTTTTCTTCTTGTTTCTTCTTGTTTCTTTTTAGTTCTTTTTAGTTCTTCTTGTTCTTCTTAGTGTTCTTTCTCTTTCTTGTGTTGCCAAAGCCTTCTTTCATGTTCTTTAGTGTCGCCTTTTTATCTTGCGAAGTCATAGCAAAGTCGAACTAGATCCAATATATTTTTGCGTTGTTACAAGTAGAGAACAATTTTAATCTTCGTGTGTGATTTCGTTGATTTGTGGTTTTGCTATCTCTATATGTGGACTTTATCTTGAATAGTTATGACAAAATCATAAAGATAAAACAGCTTTTGATCGATAAATTTGTTTATCAACTAATTTTTTCGATAATTCGTTCATCCATTTYTTCATTTATTATTTATTTGATCACCCATTCAATAATCATTTGTACATCAATTAATATTTTCAATACTGAATCAATATTTCACAATAGCTGTTCTCTAAGGTGGCTATTCTTMTTGCTTTAGCTCATCCTCGCCCGTATTAAACAACCATTTAGTCTTGACATAATTTATTCTTTACGAACAAAAAACCTTACTTCTCTCCAACCCACATGTAAAGTTTAGTGGTTTAGCTCCACCATATGTGAAAACCATATATCTTTCTGTCCACTACAAAAAGACCGTCGAAAACAGACATTTGATCCACTCGTCTGCATCCTATCAACCGCGGTACGCTAATACGATAATAACTTCGAAATGGACTCGCGGTGAAAGACATGTCTGAAGAAAGCGCTCTCCGAATCCCTTGTGTGTTAGGCAATTTCTATTCTAATCGTCTGCTTTAAAACTAGCTTATTTTTTACATATGGTTCTTGGGTTTTTATATTTCGGAACGAGTTTATAATTGTGAAAAGGGTGTTTGCGTTATGTGCAATTATGTGCGCGGGTTGGTWTTCTAGATCCCGCGGGACGTTTCGGGACTCATCAAAAGGTCAAGAAAGGCATCCTAGATTTCGTCTCGAAAATACCATCGCTAGGTGGGACATCCCGTTTCAAAACAAAACCTTTTTCGCGAAGAAATGCAAATAAAACAAAGTAGATTTATAAAAATGCTTACTTGGAATATTTCTTTCAGATGTATTCAATATGATTGATGATTTTCACACATTTTATTTGATAATTCCCCGTTTTATGACATCACCCCTAGTCTGGCAAAGCTCACCGGACATTTCAATGAACAACACTCGAGAAATATTTGAACAAAATGAAGTTCTTYTCAAAATTTAATGCAGAAACAGTGTTAAAAGACTGTCGATAGACGTCAAGTCGAAATCATCCCAAACACCGATGATTTTTAGCTTTACGCAAATAGCTCGGACGTGTAGATGTCACAGGGCGCRAGTGTCAATCAAGATGAACATTCAAAAACAATTAAGTTCATTGTAACACAATAGCGCAGAGCTCCAGTCGCATTGTCTTCAGAACAGTAAGCAATCAAGAATTTACACTTAGAATCAACGTTTAAAAGCATTTGAGGGCCGTCAGAGCGGCAATGGATGCACTCTGGATATTWCTTTATGGATATTTTCTGACATTATGTGCTGTAAGGACTCACGCAGGTAAGTTTACAGAGAATTTGGGGTTTCAAGGTTTCCGAACTCTTCAAGGAAAAGCAAACAAGCCGTTCTACCCTGACGTTTGGTTTTCTTTGGGTTTAGATAGCGAAATCTTTGATATCTCAAAAGGATTAAACTAATACWGCTCATAGGTTTGTAGTTTATATCCTAATTCAAGAAAATTTGTTTTCATAATGAGATTTTAACGAACTGAATTTTCGAGCTGTGATGGAATCYTGCTTTGGTGAYCATTTCGTGGTTCTCGACGCCGCGCGCGTGAACTCTTCTGGCATGAGTTCGCGAAAAGTACAATTTTCACYGTATTTTTGTCAGGGTATCRAACCCAAGAGCTTTATCTTTAATTGTGGCATTCATGAGCGTTCTCTCGAGAGCTAGAAAATCATATTTCTTAAAGATTATTGCTCCGTTGACCCGTATTAACGAGAGAACAAGAAGACACAACCTGACGAAAGCTCAAAAGTGTGCCTTGAAGATGTCGGCGTCTTTCAGCTCAAGGAGCGAGAAATACCCGCTAAAATGTACACGAGAGAAGAGTTATGTTCCGTTTTATGAGAGAATTTCGTGAACAAACTGTTATCTACAAACAAATTGGTGAATACCATAATTTATTAGTGATTGGTTTGCTAATGGAGGTAGGGATTGTTCGCGGGTTTATCTGGAGATAAACTGCTAGAACGCAGTATATCATTTCCCGTTATAGACAAGAGATTGCCAAACTACTTTGCAAATATTAGCTTCTTTAGAACTATGATTTCATCCATGTATTAAAGATAAACGAAAATACAGTTCCCGACAAAATTTCCCGTYRTRGTATCATTTTTCAAAGTCACTTTTGTAGTTTTCTATAATGAAGTTTTTTT